CGCGCGGTGGTACTTGCCGATGGCCTCGCGGTATTTTTTATCCTTGTAGCACTGCGTGCCCTGCGTCTTGAAGTCCAGGGCTCGTTTGACCAGGTCCGCCGGCTCGTTTTGGGGTTTCACCATCATCGTACCGCTCTGATGGGGCGCGTACTGCGGGTAGCGCGAGTCTCCGCGGCTCCGTCCACCGGGAGGCTGCGTGACTGTGGAGTTCGCGCTGCCGCTCATGACGCTCATCGTGCCGTTTCTCTTGCGTATCATTCCTTCAAACCTGCCCTGCTCCACGCTCATCCCACCGATTCGATAATTCTCTAAAACTCACGTTTCCGAGGTTCGTTCGTTGCCTCTTTGCGCGTTTACATGCCCGCGTGACGAGCACGTCTTCACGGTTCTGTTTTAAAGATGGATTCCCGGATTATTCACACACACACAATACTGTGACTTTTTCCTCTTTTTCGCCGCCTCTCTCTTTTTTTCAGCAGTCTAGCGGAACGGACAGGGATCGGCACGTCCTGCTCTCACCAAATGACTCAAAAGGGAGTGAGCGAGCGTGCGCATGAAGCCACAGCTCGCGCTGCCCTTAAGAAATGCGGTCATCACGGATGGAGCGCGATAACCGGTCTGTCAGCCCCCCTGCGCGAGCTCTCGTTTCCATTGAAATCCAGCTGAGCGCAACTCAGCCGTTAACAAACGCATTTCACTTGCTCAAACGATGATTTCGTGTGACGTGATTTCTGCCCCCAGAACACAGAACAGAAAACCAGCTGCTGTTGGACACTGAAAAGAACTGTTTACATTTTCATTCTCTTACTTTGATCTTCCCTTGATTCAGAAGACCTGTTCTTCTCTTATTATGCTCACAACAAAGTTATTGTCAACCCACATTCATTTAATTAAGAAGTAATATGGTGAATATCTGCGTAATGGAATGAATCACTTTGGGAAACGTCATGTTTGTCCCACAGGTGTGTGTGTGTGTGTGTGTGTGTGTGTGTGTGTTGTAAGCGGGTGGCTGGTACGGTTGTTGTGTCTGGGTGTGTCGTGTGATTGCGGTAAATCGTGCTGGGTGGAGAGTTCTGCTTTGCTCAGTCTGTTATTATTATACTCTCAAACACATGTGCATGTTATATGCACATAAACTAGTAGAGTTCGATCTGTCTGAGAAAAAACAAGTGCTTTCTTTCTTTTCTTGTCCAGTATTTTTCTTCTAATCTCTGACGTTTTTAAGTTTTTAAATTCCTTTTCCCCCCTATTTTTTCATAACTATTATTCTCTTGACTGCTGATTGAAAGTTTCACGAATGTCAGATGTACTCACTTTAACTCAGCTTCTATACAAATTATTGTGACTGCATGGTCGATATTACTTAAATATTTATATAAATATTTATATTAGTTTTAAACACGTCTATATAGGCTAGTAACTGACAGAATCCTGTTCTACATTTGCTGATCAATATGTTTTAATAAAACGCATATTTTTCTATGTATATATGCATATATTTATTATTACTTTGGGGAATATATGCTATATATCCTGTATGTTGCCAAAAGATGGCAGGTTAGTATAGTTTGTGACTTTATTAGTTATAGACTTATAATTGCTCCTAATACCCTTCTTTTGATTATTTTAAAAAGAAATGTTCTGGATTATTTTACCGATGTCCTCACTACGTTTCTGGACCTTGATCATGTAAGGATCCTTGCTGCATGGGAGGGTCAGAGAGCTCTCAGATTTCATCAAAAATATCTTAA